CNATTCGAAGAGCGGAACAAACACTTTACAAATTTCTCATAAAAAGGCTGTATACGACCGGCTTCAAGCAGTTGTCTCTTGGGCTATATGGCCACGTTCTAAGGTCTCTAAGAGCAACATTAATACAATTTCCTTTCAGGTTCCTTAAGAAACACCCTTCCACGATGTGTGCAGCCGGGAAGTGACCTCCGCCCTCATACCCATAACGGCACACGAGACCAAATTGGTCACATTGGTCAAATTCTTCCTGACTGACTGGTTAATATGGTCGTTATACTCTTTGTATTGTATTTTAGATTTGTGAACGAATAAATCACTAGAACTTTACCTTAATTTTAATTTCCAAAAAATCATAAATTCTTCTACTACATTTTAGGATGAAAAAAATCAAGTACTGTCTACAATTATTTGGCTTGATTTGGTAAGTTTTTCCGGTTGTGTGTTCAGTGATTGCAAAATGAAGTTTATTTATTGATAAAATAAACTGATATTATGTAATGTAAATGCATTTTAGAAAATTTACAATTCTTCAAATGAATTACACTGTATTTTCAATTAGAGTTATGGAGATTAGTGTTTTTACATATTTGAAATCATCAATCAATCATTTTGTTAGACCACCCCATTAGAAACCTGGAAGCATTGAACAGCCGTTTCGTCCTGTTATGGGACTCATCAGTGGCAGTGCGCATTCACGACTCCTGCATATCGCAGTATTCGAACCCGGGACCTTCGGGATGGTGAGCGAACGCTCAAACATTGGACCAATGAGCCGGCATCTAACGTTGTGTGCTCATAAGTGACTAGCTTCGTGAGGAAATTCTCGGACTTCTAGTGAGAAGACGTGACCAATGGAGTTCAAACCCATCGGGTGTAGGCAGTAACTACCGAAGACAAATGGGTGAGGTCGGGCAAAATCCCTAGATCAATCAGAGTTAGATATTAACTCCATTAGATGCCGGCCAAGTGTTCCAATGATTAGGCGTTCGCGTACAATAGAGAAGGTCTCGGGTTCAAATCCTGCGGGGTGCAGGATTCGTACACGTGCACTGCTGATGAGTCCCATACCAGGACGAAACGGCCGTCCGGTGAGTCCAGGTTTCCAATGCGGTGGTCTAACAATGATTGATTGATGATTTCGAATGTGTGAATTACACTGTGTATGTAGAAAAAACTGTGAAAAACACTTCGTCTACGAGAAACATCAATTAGCAGTCAAACGACACGACACTTCTTGGCTTATATCATAGATTCGATTGGGAAAATGTGGAAATACTGGATAGGGGGAGGACAAAGAAAACTAGAGAATTTTCACTAGCTTGGCTGGCACTCAAGTCATTCAGCAGTCAACAAACACATCGACATTGACCCAATTCATCAACCAACCAGAAAAATCCTAGGTAACATGGGATCAAGAAACAGATCAGAAGGGGGATACAATCAAAACAACGGTGCAAACAACGACATGTTTAAGGTCAACAACGACCAATGAAGATCGAGGTTAACAAAAAATAGCAACGGGTCATTTGTGGAGAAATCCAAAGTTTGTGCTGATGATATTGATCAGAAGAACAATGAAAGCTCCACAACCAAAATATCCAGATCAGAGAAGGAAACACCGCCACAATCATCCACCTGAGCTTACTTTTTCTCCACAACCTCATGAATCACCTAGAACAGAATTTAAATCTAACTACGTAACAACAAAACATGATATTTTTAGGATAAGAATCACTTTTTTTAGACGGAATGCCCTGTCGTTCTACAATGTAGCATCTGTTATTGCAGAAATAATCTGATCTGCTCACTAGTGATGAGCTTCTTGAGGAAATTCTCGGAGTTCTTGTGGGAAGACCTGACCAGTGGAGTTCAACCTTGTTGGGTGTAGGCAGTAACTATTGCAGACAAATGGGTGAGGTCAAGCGAAATCCTTAGACTGATTAGATTTAGACATTAACAACGTCCGGCGTCGGGTTGGCTCAGTAGTCCATGGACTAGACATTGGCGCGCAAGATCGGTAGTCTTTGGTAGTTACTGTCTACACCCGAACAGGTTGGACTTCACTGGTCATGACTTCCCACTAGAACTTGGAGGAGACTCCTCACGGAACTAGTCACTAGTGAGCACAGGTTGTGAAAACTGTTAAGTTACCTGTCTGAAATCATGAATCGATCAATGTTAGACCACCATCAGAGAAACCTGGAAGCGTTGAATAACGGCCGTTTTGTGCTGGTATGCAACTCATCAGTGGTAGCGCGCATCCACGACTCCTGCACCTGTTTCAGTTCTGTTGATTACTAGTGCATTCACGAATGATAATTTGTTGTATGATAGATCTCCTTTGCCATTGTGAATTTTAATGTCATCAAAGATGTTGCTGAACTGATTTTAGGTGTTCTTCAATAAAAACACATCGAAAATGGGCTCGCTTCGCTTATTTTCTAAATTTATCCGAAAATCAATTCAGAATGAAGTGTTTTTTGTTTTATTCTAGAAATGGTCCGATTATCATTTTCATTGGAATGCAAGTGAATATGAAAATATTCGACAAATTAATTTACCACCGGAAAGAATATGGAAACCAGATATTTTATTATATAATAGGTAAATGAAAAAAATTAATTATCTGATACTGTTGAAAATTAACTCCTGTGAGATGGATGCGCACTGCCACTGATGAGTCCCATACCAGGACGAAACAGCCGTTATTCAGTGCTTCCAGGTTTCTTTCTAATGGTGATGGTCTAACAATGAATGATTGATTGATTGATGATTTCAAATGTGTAACAACGCTAATCTCCATAACACTAATTGAAAACTTAATATTGTTTGATCGTGGAATAAATATATCCCTTGTATTGATCAATTCGAATATTCTCATTGGTTAGTCAGTCAGTCAGTCAGGTACAACGTAGAACTTCATACGTACGTACGTACATCAGTGTTCAAGTTGTCATACCACATTAGCATACAAAGAGATGCAATTGTAAATTCAAATCCCATAGTAGTAGTAGAGATAGTAGAAGTATGAACAGTAATCGGAGAATTTAAAGTCAGTGAAATGAATTTAGAAAGAGAAAGATGGAGATGATGAGGAATTCAGAAGATTAGAATTTGAGAGAACACAAAGAATGAATACACCTGTGCCATCGCAAACGATTTTGGGCGATGTCATTTAATATTTCTAACCATCGATTATTATCATCTCGTGGACTTCAACCAGTTAGTCCCAATCTACCAGTCGATCAGAAGTCATTGGGCACAAATGCATCCTGTGCGGATTGTTTCAATACGGTCATTAAGTTAGTCCTATCTGACAATCGCAAAATTCAAACTACCAATACGAATGTAATTAAACTTTAGCCTATTTGCACAAGCCAATCGCTGTGTTCGAAGCCCAATCGCGTTTGAAGCGAGCGGTACTGGGTTCGAGTCCCGAAGTGAACATCAACTTTGAAGTGGAAGTAAACTGTGTCCTCTCCTTTGGTCTTGACTTCTTCATACGATCCACACATGCATATATATCATTTATAATACGAAAACTGTTATGAATTGATGTGCAAAATTGTATAACTACTGATAATAAGAGAAAAACCATTTATTCATTTCGAATCTTCATTTTTAATTCTAAATGACGATATTGTTCTTAAGTTACCTGCAGCTTAGATGAGGAGATTTCAGTCTATCGATTAGTGTATAGGCTCGGTGGTTCAGGTGTTAAGCATTCGCGCGGAATACCGAAGGTCCTGGGCTCAAATCCTATGAGGTTGCAGGAGCCATAGGGTACACAGTGTCACTGATGAGTCCCATCCCTGGACCAAACGGTTGTCATTCAGTGCTTCCAGGTTTCTAATGGTGATGGTCTAACATTGATCCATTCATGATTTCAATATTAGACATAGTGTTTAGCAGTTTACACCATTCTCTTTATGGTCGTTAAATGTATGATACATAAGTACAGGATATTCTTAAATTTCTAATGTACGGTCGTAATTACTTTCAAAATAATACTGGTGTATGTTTGAATCACCGAGTGAACAGGGTTGAGGTACTGGACACAGACAATAGGTTGGTTGATGTATCAGTGAATCCTATCTGTTTGTACTAATGTGGTATGGCAACTTGAACAGATATGCGTACGAAGTTATAAATTGTAGCTCACTGACTGACTATCGATGATAGCTTTCGTGGTTCTCCAATTTTCCACCCCATACAGTAGAACTGTTCTGACATTTGCATTGAAAATTGTCACTTTGGTATTGTTTCATAGTTGTTTTCACAACTAGGATGACTCTTCCGGTCACCTACAATGTGCGACTATTCCATTTACCTGTATTAATCGTTCCTGCCATTGTCAGAAGAGATGCTGACCTCAAGACTTCTGAAGAAACTCGACTTTCCTCATGATGCCCCATAATTCTTGTATATTTTGTAACTTATTTGAGAATCAATAAAATGTGGTTAGCGATGAAATTCTAGCCTCGCTGGATTTATCAACATCTTAGAGTTGGTATTCACAACGAAACTCGGTGTCAGCATATCTGGCTGATGATTTTCTTAAACAGGAGGATGAAACACTCATCGTGGATTTGATTACTAGCTAAATTTTACCGAATCTATGCAAATTTACATCATCATGGCTTTGTTAAGATGATCATCCACACAGTTTGTCCACACATATCAACTAAGAAATAATTTCATGGTAATCTTAATTATTTCAAAATTCAATTTTATAATTTTTCAGTGCTAGTGAAAAATTTGATCAAGTTTTTCCAACTAAAGTAATTGTTCGAAATACTGGAAATATTCAATGGGTACCACCTGGTCTGTTTCATTCTATTTGTGATATTGAAGTGAATTGGTTTCCATTTGATTCACAAGTAAGTAAGTGAGTAAATTATGCATTGATTGTTTAAGAAAGCGACCTCTTTTGATTACGGTGTTGAGTTCAAAAAGAAACAAGATAACTCGAAATCTCTAAGAAAAGCACCTGATTCCCGACCATAGCTGCTAGCTTGACTTGATGGTTGAGCTTGCCTATCGTGATTACATAACCGTAAGCTATATTGGCTGGAACGTATGTTCCTGTAGGTCCTACTATGCCGGGCAGGTCGATTGGAGAACGGTGAGATTGAGATGGTGGAGAAAATTTGTAGCTCAAGCTGATGATTGTGGTGTTGTTTAGTTCTCTGAGCTGGTTGTTTTGGTTGTGGAGCTTTCACTGTTCTCTTGCTAAACAGCATCATCGTTAGCACAAACTTCAGATAGAGAAGTGAACTATTCGAATTTCTCCACGTTTAACCTGTAGCTTATTCTGTTAACCTCAATCTTGATTGGTTGTTGTTGACGAGGAAAAACACCTGATGACTATCTTCCAAAAGAACGGCTATCCACGCAACTTCATCAAAAAACATCAACCGAAATCGTCAACAGAAGTGAAATCAAGTTGAGGAACCAACAAACGGATCATCCTACCATACATAAAAGACATATCGGAACACATAGCACGACTACTGAAACCATTTGGAATTGGTGGGGCACAGAAACCAACAGAATCACTTCAATCAATCCTGTATGTAGACCAAAAGACAAAATGACAAAGGAAGAAAAGCCAAATACCATCTACAAAATAAACAACTGCTCAGATTGTGTAAAACACTAAATAGGACAAAGTGGACTTCCTCTGCAGCTTCGTTTGATTGAACACCAATTTACAATCAAACGACACGACAATCTTCGCTTATATCAATTCACGTTGGCAATTATGGACGCACATTCGATTGGAACAATGTGGAAATACCAGATAGGGAGAGGATAAAGAAAACTTGAGGATTTTTAGAAGCTTGGCTGGCACTCAAGTCAATCGGCAATCAACAAACACATCGACATCGACCCAATTTATCAACCAATCAGGAAAATCATAGTTGACATAGGATCAAGAAACATATGAAAATAGGGGTATAATCAAAACAAATGTGCAAACAACGACAAATTTAAGATCACTAACAACCAATCAAGATTGAGGTTAACAGAACAAGCTACAGCAGGTCACACGTGGAGAAATTCGAATATTTCATTTCTCTATCTGAAATTTGTGCTGATGTTGATGCTGTTCAGCAAGAGAACAATAAAAGCTCCATAACCAAAACAACCAGCTCAGAGAACTAAACACCACCACAACGGTGAGATTAAAACTAGAAACTCAAGGTCTGAGGGTGAAGTCGTACTGATGACTGTAGAGGCATGTAAATTGTTTCCTTCGGACAACCAGCATCTGTAGCGATGCTGCCTTCTCCCAACGAAAGGAATGGTGTTAGAAATGGTCGACCCTGAAAATATCACACGTCACCTTACCTTACGAACTCCCATCTCTGGCGGTACGGCCACTTGAAGATCGGTGCCAACATTCTATAAAACTTCCTATAAAAAGGCTATGCGTGACCGGCCTCAAGCAGTTGTCTCTTGGTCTGTGTAGTCACGCTCCCAGATCGTTAATACCAGCACTAATCCAATTCAGAAGATCAGAATTTGATAGTAGTATCCATAACACTAGTATGAATATAAGAGTTTGTATAACGTTATTATGAATATTAGTGATTGTTAACTGCAATGTATATGATCACTCCTTGTTAACGTAAATGATTCTTTTGAACAAGTTTTTAGAATGCTTTAGAATTTAAAATGCACACTTCATTTTAACTAGAACACTCGTCATTCAAATGTATCTTAATAACAGTATTTAAATACTAAAATTCATGACTATTTGAACTCAATAGCTTAAAGAACAAAGCATTAAAAAGTGATCTATATTAAGTTTGAGTTTCATTTAGAAATTTTAACATTGAGCATATGAGTACACGTAGCTAACTAGTCGAAAAATAAAATAAAATACCTATTGTGGATATCCTTATTGACTGACTTACTTATTTACTCCTGTTATCTCTAATGGAGCATTCTCCAACCTACTCTGTCCTGAGTCTTCCTTTCTAGTTTCACTCAATTGTAGTTCATTCTTCTCATGTCTATCTCCGTTTCTCGGTGTAACGTGTTCCTTAGCCTTCCTTTTTACCGTCGTACTTGAGGGTTCCAAGTGAGGGCTTGACTTGTGACGCAGTTGAGTGCTTTCTGCAATGTGTGTTCAATCCACTCCCAGCTCTTCTTCCTCCATTGGAATCCGGTTTATTTGCTCGCACAGTAGATTTGACCAACAGATCAAAAGTATTTTGAGTGGACAACTGTCAATAAACACTTGTATCTATTGAATGATGGCTTTCATGATTCTCCAAGTTTTCACCCAGAGGTTAGGCATTCATCGCACAAGACCGAAGGTCCCGGGGTTCGAATTTATCATTACTTAATAAACTACAATTAAAGTATAACACCGTTTATTATTATTATTATTATTATTTAGAATTGTATCATGAAACTTGGTACATGGACTTATCAAGGTAATACAGTTGATTTAAAATTACAATGTGACAATGAAACTGAAGATATTGATCAACCATGTCATTATATGAATGATGTTGATTTGTCAACTTATTTAGCTCACAGTGAATGGGCTTTAGAAAGTAAGTCAATCAATTAGAACACATACTATACAAGTAGTCATTGTAAGTTTTCTATGATGATTTCGTAATTATTCAGTGTGTATTATTAATATTTAAAGCACTTGTGTGAGTCTAGGTTGATAACCTCATGACAACTGTCCTCCTTTGTCCTGATTTGGGACCAGCTGTAACGCGAGAAGGGCTTTGGCTAGGTAATGAAGATGTCGATATTTCAGGGGAAGTATGAAGTACAATGGACAGCTAGGATGCAATTGGATGGTCTGGATTCCGTCGACAATCTAGTTTTGCTTTCCAGCACATAACAGCGAATGTAGATAGAGACAGCCAGTGTAGCAGCAGCAGCCTCTTCAACAGTAGGTCTCAACATACACAAAGGAAAAAACGAGATCCTCCGATACAACACAGTAAGCATCAAACAAATCATATTTGATGGACTCATCGACAGTGGGCATCAACTACTATGACAATCAAACCTAGGACCTTAAGTTTTGCGCATGAATGCTTATCCTCCAGATTAATGAGTTGGTATCCAATGGCGTTAATGTTTAACTTCAATCAATCCACATTATTACTGGACCACCGTTGGTTGTTTTGGCCTCACACACGATACAGTTTGAACTCCATTGATTAAGCATCCTCACTAGACCTTCGAAACTATTCATTGTTGAGTACATTGTAGGATTTAATTTGTCCTACATATATGTACTTCTAGAACTGTAAACGCAATATTGGCGAGCACAGAGTCTATGGAAAAGCTATAGTCAGAACAAGATCAACTTTTGCTTTAAACTTTATCTGTTTCTAAACATAAAAACAATTAAATTAGTACAATAAATAAGGAAATTACAGTTATCAAATAAAACGAGCAAACGTACCGACCAATATTGCGTGTCTTCACAACAACCCCGTAATGCAAATTACCCGTGCTCACTAACGACTAGCTTTGTGAGGAATCTTCTCCGAGTTCCAGTGGGAAGACGTGACCAGTGAAGTTCAACCTGTTCGGGTGTAGACAGTAACTACCGAAGACTGTGTATGAGGTTGCGCAACTCCGTGAATTTGATCAAGTTAGACATTAACACCGTTAGATACCGGCTCAGTGGTCCGATGGTTAGGCGTTCGCCTACATTACCGAAGGTCCTGAGTTCGAATCCTGCAGGGTGCAGGAGTCGTGGGTGCGCACTGCTGATCAGTCCCATACTAGGACAGAACGGCCGTCCAGTGCTTCTTCCAGGTTTCTAATGCGGTGGTCTAACATTGATCGATTCATGGTTTCAAATAGTTCAGAACAGTTGAAGAGTTTAAAACAACCAGTGTTTCTAAACATCTTTCTCATGTTTGATTTCGATTTTGGTTCTTTACAAAGGTGCTTCCATTAAACGTAATATACAAACTTATGGCGGTGAAGATCAAACCTACATTGATGTGACTATTTATGTGCATATGCAACGTCGTGCTTTATACTACATGTTCAATATTATTATACCATGTATGATTATGTCAATGATGGCGTTGCTTGTATTCACTTTACCACCTGAAGCTAATGAAAAAATTGTATTAGGTAAGTGAGAATAGAATCAGTTAGTTAGTTAGTAAGTAGTATATAAATGATATTATTTCAATGTATTATGTAATAATGAAAATGTTATCCCCTCACCCCGCACCTCAACCGCCTGCATCATCATTTGACACTGAGTTCAGTAGTCCACAACAACGTAGAACTTCATAGGTACGTACGTACCACATCAGTTCAAGTTGTCATATCACATTAGCACACACACACACACGGAGAGAGAGAATTGTCGATTGAGATCCTATAGTGGTAGAGAGGTAGTAGTAGTAGTAAAAGTATGAGCAGTAATCAGAAAGATTAAAGTTTGACGATGCTATTTAAGGAGTGTAATCTAGTGAAATAAACTTAAAAATTAAAAAGATGAAGGTTATGATGAATTCAGAAGTTTAGGATTTGAGAGAACACAAATTGTGGATGTATCTGCACCATTTCCTTCAAAGTCTCTAACCATCGGTTACTATTGTCTCACGGACTCTAACCAAGTAGTCTACACCAACCAACATGAATAAGTCCAGCTGTCAGTGGCTCCGAGTCTTGATAATCAGGTCAAAAAAAATTAGGGTAAACATAAGATGAGCAGAGTAAGGCGATGCACACCACACTCAAGTAGAAACAATCAAGATTATAAGTGAATTAGAGACAAGGTCGACGGACGTCTGATTAACTCGGCTAATACATTAACTCCTCTATGGTTGGATCTTCATATAAATTCATTTGATTACAGTAGTTTTGTCAGGATATTCATCCAATATCCTAAGAGAATGATTGGTCAGTTCATATTGGTTAATTCCTACTGGTCAATATTATAGTCGTCCTGACTATCAATGTCACTTCAAATGTTACTTCCTATTGGTCGTCTTAACTGTCAATGTCATAGACTTCGATGCTGTTTCCTATTCGACCTAAGTGTATGAATTCGCATTATCTATAACTTTTCATGGACCGGCCCGGATCCCTAGTCCTGGATCCAGATTCTCTTCTGGACTCGGACCTCGTACTTTCTGGATGCTTGTAGAATACAGGTTCTACTTCATATCATGTCTTCTTATTTTAACTAAATCTGGGGGTTGGGATAATCGGATTAGAGTAGCCTGTCGTGTCACCGGATCATCAATCCTCACTCTCGTTTTCCGATTAAGGTAAACTCGTCATAGTTCAAGCATATCAAAATGACATGTTTACGTTTATGCGTAACAAGTTTATACCCGATATCTTTATTTGAAAAGTTTCCAGTTCTCGAAATTTCTATCTGTTCAATTTGATTGGTTGATAAATTTCTGTTTTCTGTCTTATTTGTTTCATAACAGGTGTTACCACTTTACTTTCATTGACAATGTTGTTACAATTAGTCGCTGATAAACTACCACAAACATCATCAGGGAATCCTGTACTTGGTTAGTTTGTATAAATATTTTCTCAATTTATAAATCATTAATTTATATGTTCATGTTTCAAAAATGATCCCTCCTTTTGTTTGAGGAATAAGGTTTGACTAAAAGTGGGATTCGAACCCAGGACCTTCGCTCCTGAGCTCGGACGACAAGCCTCTGGGCCCCTTGAGCCGGCTAACATCCAACGGTGTTAATTTCTAACTCTGTTCAACCTAAGAACTCTGCGCAACCTCATGCATTTTTCTTCGGTAGGCAACTGCCTTCACCCAACAGCGTAAAACTCCACTGGTTACGTCTTTGTTGGGGACGTTGGATTTTATTCATGGACTGATCATCTGACCTTGAGATTTCATTTCCCATCAGGAAAATCCTTGGCTGTGATCGGTTGATGTGTTACTTTATTATGCTGTAGTGCCTCCACGTATAATATTCCAGTTCGCTTACATCTAACTTGGTTAAGCCCTTTCGATTAATTTATTTAACCAAGCCATTTGTATGGTAACTACTCGTATGTACCATTGGTATTTTTGAGTCGTGTCACTGGTTCATTGTCTTCTTCTCGTTTATGGACAAAGGTGAACTCGTAATTGTTTCAAGCATAACATGAGACGAGCATAACAGTCTTCTCAAAAGGATTGTGAGAATTTCCTCATAAAGCTAGTAGGCGCTAGTGAGAACATTTTTTTATTTTCAATTATACTATTATGGAGATTGTTGTTTTATCCTAAAATCGTGGATGCGCACTGCTGATTAGTCCCATATCAGGACGAAACAGCAGTTATTCAGTGTTTCCATGTTTATAATGTACCCCTAGAATGCAAAAATATGATATATATATATATATTGAAATCATGAATTTATCAGTTTTAGACCACCGTAGTGGATCTGCAAGTACTGGAAGGTTGTTTTGTCTTATTATAGGACTCATCAGTGGTTATCATCTACGACTTAGCAAGCAGTAATCGTATCCACGACTTTTGGTCTTGCGTGTAAACGCCTAACCTCCAGATCACTAGGCCGGTACCGAGGTTAGGCGTTTACGCGCGAAACCAAAGGTCATTGGTTCGATTTCCACATGTAGTGTCGTGGCACACTGAACACTGCAGAAGAAATCTAGGTGTCTAAACATAGTCTAACAATGATCAACTTATGATTTCAATGAGATGAGTAATTTTGTTAATTAGTAGTATTTTCAAAAGTATTTACTATTTTCTTGTATTTCATATTCTTGTACAAACTGTTTAATTGGTTAAAAAAGTTTTATACTTCACATGTACAATGATTCTATGTTCGTTGTCATTGGTATGCGCTGTGGTTTTATTGAATTGTCATCATCATACCGGTGGTATTGTTTATGTACCATGGTGGGTAAGTCAATAAAGTCTATGTATTGTTCAATAATTTCTTATGAAAACTTTTGTTGTAATGAGGTTATGCATAGGGTACCATCTTGTTAGGATATTCATCCAATATCCTGAGAGAATTACTGGTCAAATCCTATTGGTCGATTTCTATTAGTCAAAATTATGGTCGTTTTAACTGTCAAAGTCAAATACTTCAATGTTGTCTCTGATTGGTCATCCAGGCTGTTAATGTCATTTCAAATGTTCATTTTTATTGGTCGTCCTGACTATCAATGTCACAGAATTCGATGCTGTTTCCTATTCGACCAAAATGTATAAATACGCATTATCTGTAACGTTTTATGACCAGGACCAGGACCCGGTCCCGGATGCCTAGTCCGGGATCCTGATTCTCTTCTGGATTCGGACCTCGTACTTTCTGGATGTTTGTAGAATACAGGTTCTACTTCATATCAAGTCTTCTTATTTTTACTAAATATGGGGGTTGGGATAGTCGGATTAGAGTAGCCTCTCGTGTCGCCGTATGCTCGATCCTCGCTCTCGTTTACGACTAAGGTAAACTCGTAATAATTCAAGTATATCGAGTTGATGTGCTTACGTGAAGGCGTAACACATATTTAGATGAAAAAATTCATCGACGTGCAAAGTGGTTAGAATCGTGGATTAAATATGTTCAACCGCGATGTCTATCTTGATGGGTATGAAAGTAGGCTAGAAGAAATCTAGAGGTGACTTAACCAAAACATAGAACTAGTTCATGAAGGCGAAATCATACTGTTGAATGTAGAGGGGTATGAAAGCGTTTAAATGTTACCTTCAGACAATCAGAATCAGCAGAAATGCTGTCTTCTCACAAGGAATGGAGGAGTTAGTAATGGTTGACCGTAAAAATGTTACACATCACCTTATCCCACAGATTCCCGTCTCTGGTGGTAAAGCCATTTGAACAGCGGAACTAACATGTCAACTTCCCATAAAAATGCCTTGTGTGACCGGCCTCAGGTATTTATCCCTTAGGCTCTACGAGTCACGCTCTCTCTAATCCAACTTTTTTTCAGGTTCCTGAAGAAGCACCTCTCCACAGTATGGGCAGCCAGGAAGTGGCATCCGCCCTCATACTCGTAATAGCATACAAGAGTAACTGGTTGGGATCTGCCGGACAATAAGAGACGATGTTTAGGGACTTTAAATGACATTGCAAAAAATCGTTTGCGATTGCGCAAGGCATCCATTCCTTGTGTTCTCCCAAATCGTAATCTTTCTCTATCTAAATTTATTTCACTGAACTACACTAAAATAATATCTTCGAACCCTAGCCTTCTCTTTTACAGCTAATACTTCTACTACGTCTACCACTATGAGATTTGAATTGACAATTGCATCTCTGTATGCTAATGTAATATGGCAACGTGAACTGATTTGGTACATAAGTATGAAGTTCTACATTGTTACTGACTGATCGACTGACTCACGAAGTTAATGACTGTTGAACTGAACCCTGATAACAAGCATAGATTGCCATCTGATTGGAGTGTGTATAATTATTCGAAACTACTGTTTCGTGATATCGTTTACTGATTGCCTCAATGTATGTCCTATTCACCTACAAAGCTTTCTCCTGGTTTCCTTCTCAGCTCACTGGGTTCGAGCCCCGGAGGGAATATCGATGTTGAGAGGTGGATATACTGAGCTAAGGAAGAATCTCAGATAACACGAGACGCGTATGTTAGATTTAATTGTCAGCCACATTCTATGTAACCTTTCCATTTAATTCATTATGTTGGAGTTTCGTTCTCTGAGCTGGATGTTTTAATCGTGGATCTTTCATCATGATTACTCTGAAAACAACATCATCAGCGCAAACTCTAGGTAGAGAAATGGAGTATAACATGTAGCTTTGTTAAGCATGCACGTAAACATGTCAATCTGACAGGCTTAAAACTGTTACGAGTTTACCTTGGTCGGAAAACGAGAGCAAGGTCGAGGAACTGGCGACACGACATGTTAATCTAGTGCGAGTGTCCAAAACCCCCATTGAGTAAAAGAAGAAGACTTGATACGAAGTTGAACCTGTGAGATGGTGGAGAGATTTGTAGCTCAGGTGGATGATTGTGGTGGTGTTTCGTTCTCTGAGCTGGTTGTTTTGGTTGTGGAACTTTCATTGTTCTTCTGAACAACATCATCTGCACAAACTTCAGATAGAAGTGAAGCATTCGAATTTCTCCACGTTTGACCTGTGCCACACCTATTCCGAATGGTTTTAGTAGTCATGCTGTATGCTCCGAAATGTCTTACCATACCATACATAAAAGACATATCGGAGCATGCAGCACGACTACTGAAACCATTTGGAATAGGTGTGTCACACAAACCAACAGAATCACTTCAATCAATCCTATGTAGACCAAAGGACAAAATGACAAAGGAAGAAAAACCAAATATCATCTACAAAATAAACAACTGCTCAGACTGTGAAAAACACTACATAGGACAAAGTGGACGGTCTCTTCAGCTTCGTTTACGTGAACACCAATTAGCAGTCAAACGCCACGACAACGCTTCGCTTATATCAATACACACCGGCAATTATGGACACACATTCGATTGGAACAATGTGGAAATACTGGGTAGTGGAAGGACAAAGAACACTAGGGAATTTTTAGAAGCTTTGTTGGTACTCAGGTCAGTCAGCAATCAATAAACACATCGAAATTGAATCAATTTATCAAGCAATCAGGAAAATCATAGGTGACATAGGATCAAGAAACCGATTAAAAGGGGGTTACAATCAAAACAAATGTGCAAAGAACGACAGGTCAAAGGTCAACAGCAACTAATCAGGTTTGAGTTTAACAGAACAAACTACAGGTCAAACGTGGAGAAATTCGAATGCTTCACTTCTCTATCTGAAATCTGTGCTGATGATGTTGTTCAGAAGAACAACAAGGAGAGCTCCACAACCAAAACAACCAGCTCAGAGTACCAAACACCACCACAATAGAACCTGTATTGTAGAAGCATCCAGAAAGTACAAGGTTCGAGTCCAGAAGAGAATCAGGATCCCGGACAAGGAATCCCGGGCCGGGTCCTGGTCATAAAACGTTGCAGATAATGCGTATTTATACAATTAGGTCGAATAGGAAACAACATTGAAGTCTGTAACATTGATAGTTAGGACGACTAAAATATTGACCAATAGGAATCGACCAATAGAATTAGACTTCCAATAATAGTTCTCTTAGGATATTTGATGATGAATATCCATCCTAACAGGCTTGTCCTGTTGACCTCACTCTTGATTGTTTGATTTCTTAACCCTTAACCTGTCATTGTCAGCATCTACACAATCAAAACGAGAACGAAACCCCAACATAATCATCCACCAATTCAAATAACCTCATTTTTTTGTTTGTTTGATTAAAGATTGAAACATTGATCAATACATGGTTAGCAAGTATTTTACGCATTGATCATAATCTTCCATCGAATAATGATTCTCATAATCATGTGAATGTGAAAAATGAAGAGAATCTGAAAAATTCCAAAGAGAAATTGATCCCATCTAGTGATAATTATTCTTTCCCTGCGAAACATTATGATCATGAGAACAAAATGAATCATATACACGCGGATCAGTTATGCAATCCTGGTAATAATAATAATGTTGACCATGCAAAAAACGCTTCCATTTGGTCAAATATCATTGATATGAATTCGGAATTTCGTCCAACTGTAGTGATACACAAGAAAGTGAAACAAGATACTACTCATAATAATGTTATTAGTAGTATTAGTAGTAATAGTAGTAACAAAAAGTCTTTATTAATAAATGAATTAAAATTGAAATCTGAACTACAAAGTATCATTGAACAAAATTACTACATTGATCAACATCATCATCATCATCGTAATGGCCAGTTGTCAACAGATTTATTGGGTAAACCATTGAATCATATATCATCTTATCATCAAACTACTACAACTCAGGGAGTGGATCGAACAAATATGACTAGTCGATTGGAATATTCATGTAAACGGAATTCAACTGAACAGTCAAGTAAGTTAGTTTAGTGATTCTTTTACACAACTAACTTATTTCTACGCCTATTAGCTTCAATCAAGCTTAGATTGTTGATCAGCATTCTCTAATCTACTTTATTCCTAGGCCTTCCTTTCTATTTCTATCTAGTTGATGTTGCTTCTTCTTGGCGTAATGTGTTCATTGGTCTACTTCTTTTTCTTTCACGCTGAGAATTCCAAGCACCGACTTGTCTTGTGAGATGCAGTTGGATGCTTTCTTCAAGGTGTGTCCTATCCACCTCTGCTCGAGTATATAACGTATGATCTAGAGTCATAAAACATCGATTCAAACTTTCATGGTTTAAAATTTGTACAGTAAACTGGAAGATTAGTGAATGAGTGAATTGATTAATAGAATATGTGTATGTGACAAAGAGATTTGATTTAATTAGCCAATCAGAAGTGTAATCCAATGAGGTCATTTGATAATTATCAGCATAGCTGTAAGGACAGATGAATATTATTGGTCAAGAAATGACTTTCTTTTCTAAAGAGGCAGGATGTATATATTTTGATATACATATGTATGCACGAGTAGTCAAAAAGACTTTCTGTTCTACTTTTATCCTGTCGCCCAAGTAGTCAGTTTGGATAAGGGTTTGTGTGTAGCGAGTTTAGACACTGTCGACATTGTAAATCGTAACACAATCAATCATTTTACAAAATAATATTTGAAAATAATTATTGTAATAAAATGTTTTTTTAAAGACTTAAAAATTTCAGTTTTAAAAGGTAGATCAAGTTTGGATGTATTTGTGATATTCCAACCGATTTTAATCCTGTTAGGATATTCATCCAATATACTAAGATAATTGTTTGTAAGTCTAATTCTGTTGGTCAATTCCTATTGGTCGTCATAACTATCAATTTCACACACTTCAAATGTTGTTTCCTATTTGACTTGAATTTATGAACACGCATCATCTGTAACGTTTTATCACCCGGAACCGGATCCTTAGCTTCTTGTGGACTCGGACCTCGTACTTTCTGGATGTTTAACTCAAAATCTAGTCTTCTTCTTTTACTCAATAGGGGTTTGGGACAGTCGGATTAGAGTACCTGTCGTGTCGCCGTATCCTCGCTCTCGTTCACTGACTACAGTAAACTCGTAATATTTCAAGCAGATCAAATTGACATGTTTGCGTGCATACGTTACAAACCCTACTACCTGAAGTTTACATCCACGATGACGGAGGGGAGGCAGAAGTAATCGAACCTTGCAATCAAGGGTTATGGAATATGTACCTAAGTGGCTTCAAAATCAGCTAACATCAGATGAGCCGATAAACGTGGGAAATAGAAAACCATGTTCATCGATCGTAAAACACATAATTGAGACAGGCCATAAGATTGACATCAAGACAGCCTTCAAACCATTGTATAGAAATGTTGAAGGATGAATTTTGAGGTTAATGGATGCGTTGGTTAATCTTAAACTAAAACCCAACTTATGTGTGCAGAAACAATTTGTCATAACCTGGAATTTACCCCCTGGTAATCTTTAAGCCTAGGGTAATGTGACAATTTTCCTACTCCTCTTATTATTCTTTTCATATAAGTTTGAATAAAGAAATAAGAAGACATATTTTGTGAGATAGTACCATTTCGTGGTTTCTCGTCAGTCACATACAAGCAACATGTTATTTGTGTAAATACAGTTTTGAAGATAAGATCAAAATTTCCTATTTAGCATGACATTCACTCACTAGAAGAACCACGGTAAACAAAGGTCAACATACAGTTGTTTTTGAACACATAAAGTTGGACTTTTCCGACCAATTAAGATAGCTTCGAGTAGTTTCAGTGTGTGTGTGGGTTTTGATGACATGTCACAACTCTATAAAGGCTGATTTTGGGTCAATTTGATGACCACTCATCATTAGATGTTATGCAATGGACGAGTCTGGGTTTCTTGATCGATCTTGAGATGACGGGCTAGGTTGATGAATCATGGATTTGATTAACCATCTTGGAATATGTTCCCCGTATCCTGTCTTCCAATCGGCGATCTGTCCTCCCTAAGTAACTTTCTCCACAGTTACATGTGAATTGGTAAATACAGTGGGGTTTGGACTGAATCGGTCTTGGAGACTTGATTGGGGTAACTGAGATCGATTGGGTTGTTGTGATAAGCCTCAGATTAGCTGCATTGAAGGTCTTTTTTATTGCAGCTGCAGTCTGTTTGGTTGTAATTTTCATGCAATGATCACCCTTGAAAGGTAACTGTAGGTACACTGGTTTCTTGGGCACATCAGTTGCTATCAGCTTCATCGTAGTTGTGTTCTGATGACCAATAAACGTTTCGGGATATCCGTTTGATTTAAGTGTCTCAGTAATAAGCTTGAATTCGTCGTTCAATGTATCAGCAGTGCAGATTCTACTTGCTCGAGCGAATAAAGTTTTGACAACAGAACGTTTATATTTTATGGGGCAGAAACTAGTGAAATGGAGGTACTGTCCCGACCAGGCGGGTTTGCGGTGTACTTTTCGTCTGATTGATCCGTCTGGAAGCGATGGAGCAGGATATCGAGGAAGGCTAATTCATTATTCTTTCATATAAGGTTAATTTTCTCTCTCCTTTATTTACAATTATCACCTTATGTCTATTTGAACTTTTATTTAATTGACCTTTTATTGATCTTCATATAAAATGCCTTGACAAGTGTGCATGTGTGTGACCAGATTGTTTGAAATGTATAACGCAAATACATCACACTATTTTTCACATCACTTACGTCTTCTCACTGTTCTATTAAAATTTATAAAAGGTACTAATTGTTTTAAATGTCTTGAATATTTCAAAGTCAACAGAGTAGATATATATGCTTCCGTCAGCGTAGGTAAGACAAATTCTCAATAGTCCAGTGAATTTCTATTTTTAAACTCATGTTGAGATTTCACCAATCAATAAGATACCACCTATATATCGTATATGAAACTTTCAAACTCTTTAAAGCTGCCAGTATGTTCAGTTTAATTAAAACTCACCTATCTCATACGAAATTGATTCATTGAGAAAATATCTGAAAACTATTTACTAGACAGATTCTCAAGTACGGCAGTTCATTACCAGGACCAAACGTCTGTCTAGAGTTTCCAGGTTTCTTTTAGTGATCTAGCTAGAATCAGTTCAGGTTTTTAACTATGAATGATTAAAATATCATCTATCTCTAATTTTCTGATTACTTAAAAACTGATTGTTATGCTCGTCACTTGATATGCTTGAAACTATTTCGAGTTCAGCTTAGTCGATAAACGAGAATAAGACAGTGAACCAGTGACACGATAGGCTACTCTGATTTGTTGCCCCAAACTAATTGACGGAAAAGTCTTACTGATATAGCTAACGGATCAGAGTAGCCTATCGTGTCATCGATTCACTGTCTTGTTCTCGTTTATCGACTAAGCTGAACTCGTAATAGCTTCAAGCATATCAAGTGACGAGTATAACACTGTGTAACAACTTTCAAGATCATTCCAAATGAGTTGTTTGAATTTGTTTTGATTGAATATACATGTTTATCAATTAAATAGCCTTGATAATCCTGTTTTCAAATTGTTTCTTTCTGGCAATAATGAATAAAAATCTCCTTTTTCTTCTCCTTAGAATATTTCAATAAAACAATCCCAAGATTTCATTTATCTTCATCTGGTGAATCTCCACTAGATCCATCATCGTTCTCATCACCATCGTCACCGTCTTCGACATCATCATCATCATCAAATAAAGAGACAATATTCTCATCACCAAATAGAATTAGTGACCCGAGTAATTCAAGTCCATTAAAACAAAACACCACTGAAATGAATGATGGCCCATTCGCAAACAACAATGTTACTGATGATGTTGATGATAATTTTGATTCATTACTAATGAAATTAAAATTAATTTCTAAAGAATTACGTTTTATTACATCTGGTATGTATCAAAAAGATGAAGAGATTAAAACATCCAATGAATGGCGTTTAGCCTGTCGTGTATTAGATCGTTTATGTTTGCTGATTTTTGCTGCATTAAATTTATTCACTACATTAGGTATTTTAACATCTGCACCAACTGTAATTAAAGCATTCACATCAAGAGGTGCACCATCACAACCAATGTAATCACAATATTTTTGTTTGAATAGGTGAAATTAGTCACATATTATGTTCAACAACATTCTATTGTTTGACCTTGAAACGAATTTTGAATTCGGTTTTGTTGACTTCAAAATGTTATTCTTTTTTCTCTCTCTCTCCCTCCTTCTGTTTTTGAATGTGTGTATTCTACTATGAAACTTTGATGTTTTAAATGTTGACAAACCCATTAGTTTGATCATTCGATATGGTCATATTGTATTTAGCTTGTCAATGTTCAATATGCTGTTCAATGCTGTTAATATTTAAACTAATGTCAAAACTAATTAGAAAGTGAAAATATAATCGGTGATCGATTAACTGTAAGAGTTTTTTTTTAAAAAAAAACCTAAAAGGGTATTTTATGCGATTACACAATTGACCTTGATGATGTAAGCAACATCTCGAACTAATGGTAAAGTTAGTGACAGCTAAAATTACGCAATTTAAATTATTCAGAACCTCGTGTTTCAAACATAAACTTGTAATTTTAAAACATTTAGAGCCGTTTTAATAGATTTTGTTTAGAAAAATGTGATGATGTATTCCCGCTGTGTTAGATTGTAGTGAAGGAGAACACTGGTGAGGGCAATCGAATTGTATTTAACGAAAATTACAGAGTTACTCAGTAAAATAGGAAAACCATATCGTAAATCGTTAATTTGCAAATCTTCAACCCATCATCAATCCATTGTCTGACATTTCATTATTCATGTGTTTCATACAAATTCCATTCTGTTCCCACTCTTCCTTTCTTGATCTTCCCCCCCCCATCTTCTGCTGCTAGACATTACGACATCACCCCTTCACACCCACAAGCCCCACCACGGCCTCAAACTCCTCCAGGAAGCTCCGCAAATCTCCGTCCTCAAACTCCTTCGGCCACGGGAACTCCTTCCTTCGTGCAGGCAATATTGATTGATATTGGCCATAAATTTTACGGTTGTCAAATATGACATAGGAATAGTTTGACTTTTAAGCATTGGAATTCCTTAGAAAAGATTCTCCATAGTAGACCAGATATATTGTGATTCTGAAACTTGACAAAGGTTCCACTGTACCTGTTATGATCAAATGTTACTATGATGAAAAAAACTGTTTTATCCATTCTCAATGATGAAAGTAAGTTCTTGACGTATGTTTCATCCATCTAATAATGAGGTTAGAAAATTGCGATCCATAGGTGACTCCAATCTGATGGAACTTCTTAACATGAATGTGATCAATAAGGAGGAATTGAATATCTGGTAAAACCCACCAGTTCAATTACTCCCGAATTTATTTATTACTTACTTACTTACTTACTTATTTACGCCTTTTACCCCCTAATGGAGCATAGGTCACCGATAATTACGAGTTACGGGTCGCTAAGCACATGCCTAACTCTTCTCCTTTATCCGGACTTGGGATTGGCAGTAACCGAGGGAGGGCTCCAAGCAGGGTGCCAAAATTTATATGGATTACTTATTACTTATCCATTGCGACCAATATTATCCATGAACTAAGTGAAATGGTTAGCTTAATTACTCAATTTTCTTATGCGTTACATACTGAGTAACTTTTCGCTAAAAGATACATTTAAACTAATGATTGTGTTTGATAATATTCATTCTGAAGAAAATATGGTGCATTTTATTTGACGTAAAACTCGTCTTTTTCAGTCAACCAGTTACAGCGTAGAACTTCGTATATGAGTACGTAAGTTCAGGTTGCCATACCTCATTAGCATGGAGACACAACTGTCAGCGCAAATCACATAATGGTAGCGATAGTAGAAGTATTAGCAGTAATGGTGAAGATCAAGGTTCGAAGATATAACTCAGTTTAGATGAAGTTAGTAAGAGAAACACAGAGATGATAAGGAATGCACCTGCGCCATTGCAAACGATTCTGATCCATGTCGTTCAAGGTCTCTAACCACCGATTATTATTATCATCTCGTGGACCCCAACCAGGTAGCCTACATCTACCAACATGACTCAGTCCACTTGTCAGTGATTTCATAAATTTCTTCAATGTTTTGGTTTTGCCACCTCTAGTTTTCTTCAAACCTATTCCTACACCACAAAACATAGCTCGTCGAGGTACTCGGTGGTTCGGCATTGGTAACACATGTCCCAACCACCTCAACTGATGAAGTTTCACTACTTCATCTATTGATTTGCCATCCTTACCTAGTACACGTTTCCTAACGTTAGCATTACTAACTCGGCTGGCCCACGATATACAAGCAATGTTTCGAAGACATCTATGATCCAATACTAATTACCTAATGTGCTATACTCTTAACAGCCATGTTTCATACCTGTATCGTAGAACAGAGCGAACTGCTGCGCTGTAGACTCGTCATTTGGTTGGCAAACGGATATCTCGCCTATGTCATAAGTGACGCAGGTTGACAAACGCCAATCAAGCCTTCTGTATCCGAGCTGAGATTTTGCCACACACCAGGCAATCAGCACTGATGAGACTGCCAAGATAAATGAAGCGGTCTACACGCTCGACTACTTCACTCCCCATCACTAGTTCAAGTGGCGATATAAGCCAATCCTTAAGCAATATTTAGCATTTCGATGGGGAAAATCGCATACCGAACATACTTGCATTGTTGCATAGGGTAGTCAGAATACTCTATATTTTTTCAGTGTCTTCAATGAATAGGACTATGTTAGCAAGCGAATCTCCTGGTAAAAGGTCCACTCCTGAAGAGTCAGACGATGACAATGGCAACTCTAAAAGCATATCTACGACAAAGTTAAACATGAATGGAGAGAGTGGACAGTCCCGACGGACTGTCAACTGTCAAATGAACAATTCCAATGACAGTTAGCTGTAGGCCCTCACTTGACCAGTGGTGTTCGAGTAGAGAGCCTGTACAAGGTTAATGTACTTCTTTGGTACACCTTTCAATGACAGACACTACCATAACCTGCTTTCGCTACCCACCATAGTTCGCGATCATTGCGCAGGCTTTTTATCAGCCTGCACTTAAGCTGACTCCGCTCTTCATCATGTTCAAAGCGAGGTTGGATGAGTTTACGAGTGTCTATCAGTTCGGTGAATGCTACTGATATCCACGGCTTCTTTCTAGCCATACAGTTTATCACTGCTGTTTCCACAGCATTTTAGATGTCATTCCAAACTGCTTCCGGATGGGAATCTCTTCCTATGTGGCTACCTTGGGAAGAGCCAGAAATAGAGTACTGAAATAACCCATCAACCAATGACAGTCAAGGATTTTCCTAGGGAAAATATGATCAGAAGTTCAACTGGCGCGAAAACATGGAAATTCAAAATTCCAAGTAAGTTCTGAGGAACTAACGTCCCCATCATATACACATCGAAACTCGGTATATTAGGCTATGGGTACTCAGTTCATGATTGATTTGGGAAAAATACTATCACATACATCCTGATAGTTTTATCTAATATGTCTAAGATAATGTAATCTAACCCATGAATCTATATAGATCAACTCAACCACAAATCACAAGGCCAAATGTCCACCAACTAAATCAAAGCAAATACAAAGGCTCGACGAAACAGCCTATCACAAACAAGATAATCGGAATGAACCAATTTACTACTTCCACGTGAAATAGGCACTGAACATGCATGTATACAGGATAAGGACAATGAAAACTGACACAATTAAAACAAAAGTGTTTTTTTCTTTTAAATTTCCTAAATTAACAATTTCCATTTTTATTTTTTTTTTTAAAAAAAAGAAAACGATCTAAATAAGTACATGATTCAAAGTTCAATTGCAAACTGGTCAGAAAAAAAACATAATATAAATAGAAGAGAGTATCAATATATAAATGTATTATACACCAGAAAAATAAAACAAAACAAGAAATTACATATTGAACGTTGAACATTGTAGTTCAAGTGTACAATATCTACTATATTTAAACAAACAAAAAAAGTAGGAAAGAAAGACAACAAGTCAGAAATGAAAATAATCATTGCTAAAAATTCGCATTCAAAAGAATTTAACAAGCGATAATCATATCATTTAGATCACACTTGTTGATGGAGAAGAGAAAAAACTATCATAAGAAACAGGGAAAAGTGATTGAAAGTAGAAAATATCTAAACAACATTGTACAGACTACTTACAACTATTTCATTACTATTTGTTTTATTCTCAGTAGTAAACCTACTACTACTACAACTACTATTTTTTTTAAATTATTTTCACAGCTTACTTATTATATACAAGTAGTATATTTTGACAAATCCTTATTCTTTTTTTTTAAACCGGATCACAGGTCTTGACACCACAATTGATCAACCAAATGACTAACTACTTTGGCTGTTTTACAATTCTTACAAAAAAATTTATAACTAACTAAGGCTGTTCTGGTGGTTTGATACAAAATAGAACACGCACACACACACAGACACCAAAATTTTTTTTTTGCCTAAATACAAAAAACGAAATCAATCGGAGAGAGAAAAAAAAAACAAAGTTTAAGGCATAAACGATGCGACTAGATTTGGTGCTGAGCATAAAATTGCAAAAGTTACTACAATATTACACAGACTAAATATTATTAAACAGAATCGATCAATTACACGTGCTGCAAATTTCCATTCTAAACTCATCAACGCCTCTTGTTCATTGTCACGTAGTTTTTTAGTGATAAAACGTAATTCCGTTATGATTACTTCTAAATCTGGTTTGTATACGTTGAATGCATTAGTACTGTTGATTGGTGATTGGTTATTGAATTCAGGTTGGGAATTATTGGAAATGTTAGTTTTCGATGCCTCATCACTACTATTGAGTTGATCGGAAAATGGATTTTGTCCATGTTCTGTGTAAAATAGATAGATAGATAGAGAGAAAAGTCAATTTAAACTTATTGTTAGAAGCACTAGGAGATGGTTGTTTCGTCCTAATATGTGGGACTCATCAGCCGCTGTGTGCATTACATATCAATATCAAATAAATCTAACTAATTGGCACCTATCAATCAACACCAAATCCACAATTTTCAATACGAATGTCAAGAATTCTGAAAATCACCATCCACAAGATAGAAGTGTTTATTAACAGCTGTTGTCTCTGCAAGACACTGTGAATCCATCGGCTAGATACACAATTCACAATAACCGGATGTCGTGTAGAACAAACCAGATTCCAGTAGAGGAAGAAATTAAGCAAACACTTTACGGAAAGCACCCAACAGCGTTATAAGCAAGCTGTGGATGCACACTGCCACTCACTGATGAGTCCCACATCAAGACGAAACGATGTAATTCATTATCATCTAACAGAATCACTGTTGATTAGGTATCACACAATAACAATGAAATGAGAGCTTAACATTATCGACACAATTTACCTGCATTGAAATTACCCACTGAATTGTATATACGATAAGGTGATTGTCCTGTTGACGATTGATGATTTAACATGGTGGTCGGTGATGATGATGACAATGAGGCTAGATCATTCGAAGTGATTTTCAATTTAGAACTGTGACTATTATTTCCGATGATGGTTTGTTTTGCATTGATTTGGATCGATGATTTACTATGATTCGTTAAAAGTGCATTGGCACGAAAATCATTTTCCAAATCGATAATATTTGCAATGACATTCTTGGTTGTACGTTGTTCATAAGATGGTGGAGCATTATGTAGCTGACGATCCACATTCCATGAATTATTCTCCATCGGCTTCAAATGTCCATTCATACCGCCTAGTTGTGAATTTGTTGAAAATTGTTTTTTCATATAAATAGGATTAATATTACTACTACTGTTATTATTATTTATAGTAGTATCGTACTTCCAACCGTACATTGTTTTAACGCCCAGATTTTGTTCTTCATCACCATCGTCGACACCTACTTCTACTTGTGGTTTTTTTATATCAGAACAACTATCCATAGAATGATCACTAACAGATGAGAGAATATCTTCAACTTCAATTATTTGTGAACGTTTTGGTGGTTCCATACATAATAATTTCGCTAAATATGTATTGACAATGTTTCTAATCTACAAAAAAGTTTCATGAAAGGTACTATAATTAGTAATGTGTTAGAGATAATTATTCATAGGTAAATTTGTACTCAACGTTCTGTTGATTGCTATAAGTTGAGATGATGGTTTTATGTAGGCAGCTGTTTGTTATCTTCTGTTAATAAATGTTTCTTTTAAACTAACCCTTATCAATGAGATATCAACAATTATATGGGACAACTAATTCTTGGGGAGTATAGGCTGCCAATCAGCACTCTCTAATCAACCAACTCTGTCCTGGGCACTCTCTCTTCCAATTGTTCCCGAATACTGTTCGTTCTTTCCGGACCGTCTGAAGCGGAACCTTCGGCTAGAGACCTAATAGGGTTTCTACTCGTTTGAAGCTCAGATATAGGAAGAGAGTTTGGTAGGGGGTTAGCGATTCAATAAAATTTTTTTCATTCTCCTCATGTCTTTCTCTATTTCTCGGCGTAATACGTTCCTTGGCCTTCCTCTTTTCCTAGTGAGGACTTGTCTTGTTCAATGTTTTTTTCAGTGTGTGTTCTATCCACTTCCACATGGCTCAAAATCGTTTGCAATGGCGCAGGTGCATCCACTCTTTGAGCTCTCTCAAATCCTAATCTTCTGGATTCGTCAGCACCTCTACCTTTGTCTTTCTAACCTTATCTCACTGAATTATATTTTTTGAATAATATCTTAAACCCTAGTCTTCTTTATTATAACATTAATACCTCTACCATCTTTATCACTATGGGATTTGATTTGACATTTGCGTCTCTGTGCTAATAATGTGGTATGGCAACATGAACTTATGTACATACGTACGAAGTTCTACGTTGCAACTGACTGACTGACTATCCACTTCCAGCGCTCCTTCCTGATTTCCTCCTCCACTGGAATCTGGTTTGTTCTCTACTACAGTTCGTTGTTGCTGATGGTGTCTGGCCAACGAATACGAAGTATTTTTCATAGACAACTGTTAATAAATACTTGTATCTTCTGGATGATGGCTTTAGTAGTTCGCCAAGTTTCCACTCCATACAGTAGAACTGTCTTGACATTTGTATTGAAAATTCTGATTTTGCTTTTGATTGATATTTCCTTGGAGTCCCAGATGTCTTTCAATTGTAGAAATAGAGCCCTTGCTTTTTCGATCCGCGCCCTCACATCTGCATCGGATCCACATTTCTCGTCGATGATGCTACCAAGATATGTAAGTGTGTTAACGTCCTCGAAAGCATCTCCATCAAGAGTGATTCGGTTGGTGCATGTTGTGTTGTATAGGAGAATCTTGCTTTTCCCTTTATGTATGTTGAAACCTGCTGCTGCTTAGGCTGCTGCTACACTGGTCGTCTTCTCTTGCATTTGTTGTTGTGTGTGTGATAGAGGAGCTAGGTCATCTGCGAAGTCCAAATAGTCCAGCTGTATCCTGGCTGCCGATTGGATACCGTGCTTCGCTCCAGATTTTGATGTCTTCATAATCAAGTCGATCATCAGGAGAAAGAAAAAGGGTAAGAGTAAGAAAAACTTGCCGGACACGGATCTTCACCTCGAACGAGTCTGTCAGCTATCGATGCTTAATAAAAATGATGAAAACTGTCAGTTTTTTTTAACAAAAAATTGCCTACTGATGAAGTACAAATTATTATGATTAGTATGATTACTATAGTAATATGTATCATTAAACTTTTGTGATGAATTTCACTGATAGAAGGAAGATATTCTACATGTGATGACAGTATAACGAAGATGACTATACAAATTTTATGAAATCATGAATCGATCAATGTGTTAGATCATCATCGAATCGAGCGACTAGCATCACTCATGGATGCACACTACCACTGATCACACTCTCACCACCAGGATAAAAATGGCCTTTATTCAATGCTTCCATGTTTCTTCTAATGTTGATCTTAACCCATTGATCAATTCCTGATTTCATAAATGTTGAACACTATAACTTACCCAAGCTGGAACTGAAACACCATCCGCTGATCTATGATGATAATTTAATACGAGTACAGTGAATACAATGGACAGTGAACACATAAACATTGTACATGAAAAGTAAATACCTGTCAATAAAAACATGAAAAAAAATTGTGATTAGTTTTTGTTAAGAGAAGAACGAATCAAAAATGATCAAAACAAAATATTTATATGAATGATTGTTGTGTTCCGTTGTACGTAAATTGATAATTAGTTAGTGTTAGGCATACATGTGAACATGTCAATCTGATAGGCTTGAAACTATCACGAGTTTACCCCTTAGTCGGAAAACGAGAGCGAGGATCGAGGTCCGGTGACACACTGCAGGCTACTGTAATCCGATTATCCCAACTCCCTCATTGAGTAAAAGAAGACAAGACTTGAAATGAAGTAGAACGTGTATTTTAAAAGCATCCACGAAGTATGAGGTCCGAGTCCAGAAGTGAATCAGGATCCCGGACTAGGGATCGTGGTCATAAAACGTTACAGATAATGCATATTTATACAGTTATGTCAAATAGGAAACAACATTGAAGTGTGTGACATTTATAGTTAAGACGACCATAATATTGACCAGTAAGAATTGACTAATAGAATTAGACTTACAAAAAATAATTGTCTTAGGATATTGGATGAATATCTTAACAGTTAGGAATGTATATAGTTAAGCACTCAGCTCTTGAGCTGAAGGTTTTAGGTTCGATTACCCCAAGAGAGGTTGCGATGATAAACTGCTAAAAATCGACAGTCTAAAACCAAATATCTATTCAGTGTTCCTCAGATTTCTGAGGTAGCATAATTTTGAAATCAATCAGTCATAAATAAGACTTGTAGTGAGTGTCCTAATCTATTCTTCCGAGTTACTATTCACTCATCTTTTAACCTTGTCAGTTACTCGCTCATAACCTTGGTTGCTTATGCTTGAGTGCGTGTGCGCGCCTCTTACTTCGCTTGCGTGACTTATTTTTATCTAACTATAAATGAGCTTGGTCATGTCTCAATACGCTGAGTTGGCTGGATCGCCTTCTCCAGTTCGATTCTCTCTGCTTGTACGCTTTCCATTCTCATGTTTGTCTGCTTAAATGAATACATGGACGATTGTTTAGAAAATAAACTCATTCAACTGAATCTGTATTTGGTTTCTAAATTACCGCGGTTCACCTCTGAGTATGATATACACGGAAACTGAAGAATAGATTCATTTTTACATCATATTCGACTGTTCGTAAATATGGAGTCAATATTATAGGCCACTTAAAAACCTACAGATTTAAAGAAAGAAAGTTGAGAGAAAGTACTTTGATTCTTTACTTCAAAACGGAGGGAATTTGTTTAGAGTTTATTTAGGTATATTTTTTAATTGCAAAGTAGCCGCATCCGAGATTTACTCACTAGTTAAATATGAAATCATGAACTCATATAAGAGTGTCAATTAATCGGTACACATATTTGTCAGTTACAAGTAATTTTCATGATATAGTTAGCGTTCTTTTTAAGTGAGTTAGTTTTCTACAGGATGTGGTTGCCAACCTCAAGCACAACCCTCTTCCTTTATCCAGGCATGCGACTGGCAGTATGTTATGTTCGTCACTTGGTACGCTTGAAGCTATTACGAATTCACCTTAGTCGATAAACGCGAACAAGACAATTACCACCGTCCAGATAGGCTACCTTGAATCCCAAACTGTAAAACAGAAGTCTTGGTAAGCGTAGAAAGTATATTCTACAAACACCCAGCAATCACAAGATACAATCAAGCACACAACTCTCGTTTATTTATACATCATAGAAACGTCCCTACGACAGTCACAAAAATAGCGCACTAAAATACACTGCAGCCAATCACAGCCATGGATTTTCCTGTTGTGAAATGAAATCTCAAGGTCAAATGATCAGTCCATGCTAGCAAAAACGTGAAATCCGAAATCGGGGCATTTACCAAGCGAGTTCTTGGGGATCTAACATCCCCAACCCAGTAGCGCCAGAAGGGGCTCTAGGAGGAGTTTTCTTGATATTGTACTGTTTGTAATCAGTTGATGAGTTTTATGTAAACGTGTATTACGAGGTTGTGAAGATTGTTAAGTTTTATTGAAACCATCAATCGATCAATCTTAGACCCACACCATTAGAAACCTGGAAGCACTGAAAGACGGCCGTTTCGTCCTGCTATGGGACCCCTCAGCGGCAGTGCTCATCCGCGACTCCTGCACCCTGCAGGATTCGAACTCAGGACCTTCGGTAATGTAGGCGAACGCCTAACCATCGGACCACTGAGTCGGTATCTAACGGTGTTAATGTCTGTCTAACTTGATCAATTCACGGAGTTGCGCAACCTCATACACAGTCTTCGGTAGTTACTGTCTACACCCGAATAGGTTGAACTTCACTGGTCACGTCCTCCCACTAGAACTCGGAGAAGTTTGAGATTGCGCAACTCCGTGAATTGATCAAGTTAGACATTACCACCGTTGGGAACCGGTTCAGTAGTCCGATGGTTAGGTGTTCGCCTACAATGCCGGGGGTCCTGGGTTCGAGTCCTGTGGGGTGCAGGAGCCGTGGGTGCTCACTGCTGATGAGTCCCATACCAGGACGAAACGGCCGTCCAGTACTTACAGGTTTCTAATGGTGGTTAGAAATTTATGTAAATGATTCCGTTCACAGAATTTTTGAACATACATAAAGAGAAAAAATTGACAATACTATTTGTAAAATACAATGACAAAAACTTACATACCAATTAAAGGTATCGCTTCTGATGTTTGTGGAAGTTTATCGGCAACAAGTTGTAAAAACATTGTCAATGATAAGAGAATAGTGACACCTAAGTTGTAAAAACAAAAAAACAGAAACAAGCTGGGGTATATGGAAGACAACGATTTCAAATTATACTTGTTCGTTTGATTTCTTTTTTGATGATAATTCACATGTTTAACATTAATCTAAATCTTTGAAAAAATTAATCTGATGAGGTTAAAAAACCTCGAAGTAATTCATTAATGAAGTTCAGAGAGCTGAATAATATCATTTATCGTTTAAAGAGTTGTAGAGATTGTTGTGTTTCAATGAAATCATGAACTAATCACTGTTAGGTTACCGTTAGAAACCTGTGGAAGCATTAGATGACGGCCGTTTCGTCCTACTATGTGACTCATCAGCAGAGCGTATCCACGATCCCTAGAGGTGGAGATAAAAACCACGATCTTCGGTCTAGCACGCGAATGCTTAACCTCTAGATCACTAGGTTCGAATCCGACCGTGTTAATGTCTAACTTTGATCAGTCTAAGTAAGTGCAAAACATTACCGATTGTACTCGGTAGTTACAGCCTACATCCGATAGGTTTGAGCTTCACTGTACATGGCTTCTCACTTCAACTCGGAGAATTTCCTCATGCAGCATATTGTGCGATTTTTTCAGTGAGATTTATGGAGATCAGTGATTTTACACGTTAAAATCATCAACTAATCATTGCTAGACCACTGAAAGAAACCTGGAAGCACCGGATGACGGCCGTTTCGTTCCACAGTATGGGACTTACCATCAGTGCGCGATTTGGTTTTGTCAGTATATAGAGGAATATCTGAAATACATTAACGAATCTTGAACTAATCGTTATTGGTTTTGTATTAACCTGCTGCATTCTGAGCTAGTCAATATTGGATCAAACCTTTTAAGCATTGATAAGTAAATCTCTCATCGCTGTTATATATATATACATAAGTTCGTTTCTACATATTGGTTAGTAGTATAAGAGCCTAACACTATTACTCACCATAACAAATATCAAATAAATAATATATATGAGTATTTGAATATGCAACCATGTGTAACACATTCGAAACTTTACTCTATCAACTTCCAGTTTCGTTTATCAGTTTGTCCTCTCTGTCACGCTGGTTTTATTTCCGGCTCCTGTTCATTTATTCGTCTCTTGTAAGTAAGTGAACTCATTCTGGGTGCTTACTGAATCGTTGGCTCACCTTTTACTCTTGTTCTTTCTTTTTCCAGACAAATCTCATACGCTGCTCCTCACATCTCCGCCTAGCACACAACATACCTCCTGACTAGATGCAAACCAACTGAAGGCTGAAGTTACACATGCTTTTATTCACCTCTTATTGCATGCTTGTAAAACTATTACGGGTTCACTTTAGTCGGTCGATAAACGAGAACAAGACAATGAACTAATGTCCAGGTAGGCTACTCTGATCCATTGACCTAAAAATACTAACGACAACTCTTGATATAGCGTAGAAAGTGTATTCTGCAAACACCCAATCAGCACACACAATGAACCCAAGCACACAAATCGCGTTTATTTATACACCATAGAGACGTCCTTGGGACAGTCACAAAATAGCACAGTAAAATGACACATCAGCCAATCACAGCTATAGATTTCCCTGGTGAGAAATGTGATCTCAAGGTCAACTGATCGATCGATGAAATAAACCCAAGATAAAGATATTTATATCAAGCGAGTTCTGGAGATCTAACGTCCCCAACAAATTGTTCCTACAAATCGGAATCAGATCATGGCGGGCACACAAATAATGTTATCACTAGGATTTGTAAAAGATTTATAACTCAATGAGACATGGAATATTAATAAAGTGTACAGAACTAATTGTGTTGGCTATCTAACAATTATATTCACAGATAGTTTAACCTATTTGTCAGGCAATTGGCTATAGGTCGTGCATATGAATACAAGGACTTATAATACTATCTACTCGCTTAGACTAAAGTTAATGAATTATATTGGAGCCTAAGGATTAGTAGTTGAAAGTTGCATACCTTAAGACAAACACTCAACCTGGAATCTTAAAGGCTAGCGGAAAAGAGCGTAGACCAAAGAACATATTAACCCGATAAATGAAGACAGATATGAGATTAATGAACAACAATTGGACAGAACTTGGAAATGAAGGTTCAGGTTTCAGTTGGTTGGTTGGAGAATGCTGGTCGACGGCTTATGCTCCATTGAAAGTTAACAGGCATAAGTAAGTAAGTAAGTGAGTGTATAAGTAAGTAAGTAAGTAAGTGCATAGGTAAGTAATTAAGTAAGTAATTAGGCAAGTAAGTAAGTAAGTAAGTAAGTAAGTAAGTAAGTAAGTAAGTGCATAGGTAAGTAAGTTAGTAAGTGAGTAGGTAAGTAAGTAATGTGAGTAAAGTACCTCCTTGTAATCAATTCGTCATCATTAATTTGAGATTAAAAAATAAGACAATTATTTAAACAAACTAGCATCGTTCAACAATCTTTATGCATTCATTCATTCACTAACTTACCTAATGAAATTTTCTCACCAGCATCTGGTGGTAACATGAACACCATCAACGCCATACCAGAAATCAATAGACAAGGCACAATTAAATTGAATACATAATACAATGCACGTCGTTGTAGGGTGATAGCAATTTTCACATCAACAAAATCATAATCACAACATTCATAACGTTGAGCATAACGTCGAACTGAGGAACCTATGAAATTGATGGAGGCATATGAAAATTAAAACATGATGAAAGATTGTGTGTGTATGTGTGTGCAAATAAAAAGCTTTGTAAAATTGACAATCATCATTATTACTGTAGGGTTATGGAGATTGTTAGGTTTCATTGAAATCATGAATAGATACCAATGCGTACTGTCAGTGATGAGTCCCCCTGATAGAACGAAACGGCCGACCAATACTTCTTGGTTTCTAATGATGGTCAAAAAAATGACTGATTCATGAGTTCAGTGAAATTAATTAGTTAGTAACGGATTACAATGTAAATGGACCACCATTAGAAACCTGGAAGCAGTGGATGGTCGATTGGTCCTGAGATGGGACTGAGCAGAAGTGAGCATTCGCAACACTTGCTACACGCTGGATTCGAATCAAGGAACTTCGGTCTTAGATACCGGCTAAGCGACAATGCAAGCACGTTCTGGATATGCGGTTTGCCCCCTCGAAATGAAAAATGTTGCTTCAGGATCGGGTTGTATCGGCACCTGAACTAGTGATAAGGAGTGAATTAGTTGAGTGTGTAGACCACTTTAGTTACTTAGGGAGTCTCATCATTGCTGATAGCCTGGTAACTGACGAAATCTCAGCACGGTTACAGAAAGCTCGACTGGCTTTCGCCAACTTGCGTCACTTATGTCCGTTTGCAGACTAACAGACGAGTGTACTGCGCAGCGGTTGGCTTTGTCTTACTTTATGGCTTTGAAACATGGTAGTAAAGAGTAGAGAACATTCGTAGGTTATTAGTATTCGATTACAAGTGTTTTCGAAGCATTGCTCGTATATCCTGGGACAGCTGAATAATCAATGCTATAGTTAGGAAACCAGTAATAGGTAAGGATGACAGATCAATAGATGAAGTAATGAAACTTTATCAGTTGAGGTGGTTGGGACATGTTATACGAATACCCGACCACCGAATATCTCGTCGAACTATATTTTGCGGTGTAGGAATAGGTTGGAAGAAAGCTAGGGTTGGCAAAACCGAAACATGGCACAAATGCATGAAGTCATTGACAAGTGGACTGAGTCATGGTTTGTCCGTGAGACGAAAGTAACCAACGGTTAGAGACCTTGAACGATATGGCTCAAAACCGTTTTCAATGGCGCAGGTGCATCCAATCATTGTGCTCTATGAAATCCTAATCTTCTGAATTCCTCATCATCTCTATCTTTCTCTTTCTAAATTTACTTCTCTAAATTATACCTCTTGGATCACATCTTCGAACCCTAATCTTCTCCATTACTGCTAATATTTCTACTATCGCTAGCACTATTGGATTTGAACTGACGGTGGCGTCTCTTTTCTAACGCGTCATGGCAGCTTGAACTGACGTACGTACGTACGTTATACAGGCCAAGTGGTCCAGTGGTCAGACGTTCGCGCGCAAGACCGACAGTCCCGGGTTTGAATCTTGCTTGTGGCAGGACTCGTCAATATAGAATGCTGATGAGTCTTATGGCAGGACGAAACAGCCGTCACTCAGAGCTTTGAGTTTTCTAATGATGGTCTAACAGAAAATAACTAATCAATCTCCACAATCCTATGATGCAAGCATGAATCTGCTTACCGCTAAGATGAAATTCTCCATTACGAGAATATTCCGATATATCTACTGTCCCAACTTGTGTACAATCAGGTTGTGAAGCATTGATACATTGTAATTGAAAATTAATTTGATCACCATAATATGTCCAACTTCCAAATTTCAATATACAACTCTTTTTTAAAAAAAAACAAACATTTAAATAAAAGAAAATACATTTTTGTCTCAAGAGTTAATTTATACAATTTTTAATTGAGCTACTGAATTTCAAGCGAGTAGTTCAGATTATTTGAAATAATTTATTCAGTAACAACGTATGAATTACACATCTGTAAATAGTATTGGCTTTGTATTGACTGAGATTGAGGTACTAATTAAAAACTGAGGTGAAAAGATGCTAGATTAATTCTAGTGAATGCTTGGGACATTTTTTAACCATAAACTAATTTAAGATTATGTCCAGATTGACAAGGATTGGGGTTGATCTTGTGTTTCAATGTGAAACTTCACAGTAGTTATTCACATGACCTCAGTATGAAACAAACCCTAGAACCAATAGGTTTCGCTAGTATGAAAGTTGTCCTTGAAATGTATGGTTTTAGGTCCCCAATTATTTCCATATTATTATAGCGAAACAAGTGACCAGAGAATCTTTATTCCGACATATTTGTCATCAGTTTATATTAAACTGTTTACTAGATAGATTAAACTGAAGACATGTAGTGTACACTGGCGAGCGAATGAGTAACTGAAGCGAATAGTATGGAGCGATGTATAGAAGGCAGTGAATAGAACGAATGAAGCGACGTGAATTGGAGAAGGCTGTTTAGCCAACTCCTAGGATTACAATGCGAACGAATGGGCGAAGGAAGCGGATGAATAGGCGAAGCGCGTTGCAGAAGGCTAATGAACCAACTCAAACAGATAGAGCGTGACTAAGAATATATAGTCAGACCAATATAAGACAGACATGCGAAAAGCAAAATAGGCATGCACACACATGAATAAAAGCGACGAATGATTGACAAGGTCAAATGACAGGTGGGACACGTCATGTGAGCTCATACAAACCAGACAATAATCAGAACGAATGGTACATATAAATTGTTGTAATACAAATGGCTTGGTTAAATAAATTAATCGAAAGGGCTTAACCAAGTTAGATGTAAGCGAACTACAATATATGTGGAGGAACTACAGACAAATACATAGTAATGGTTATGGAGATTGTTGTCTTTTAATGAGGTGTGAGTCAACCATAAGAAACCTAGAAGTACTTCAAGACTGCCGTCTTATCCTCGTGTATGGGACTCATCCATGGAAGTGCTCATCCGCGACTCCTCCTACTCGCATGATTCGTAAGAAGGACCTCCTATGTTGCAGATGAATGCCTAACCTCTGCACTTCTGACTGATCCCATATTAGGACTAAAACGACCACCCGATGGTTCCAGGTTTCTAATGGCGGACTAATGATGATAGATTTACATTTCAGTAATATAATACTGAGCCTAATTATATGATTATCTACAATAGTATTACAATGTAATTTGTTTCATGATAAATCATTGTATTAGTGGCTTATAATTCATATTTTTGGACATAATTACACTCAAAACTACATATCATCTAGCTGACCATAGAGAAATTCGTTTAAATTGATAAAAAATTGGTTACGATTTTCAGGGGTTTGTGGGAATAGAAGAATCATTTAAAAACATGAAGCTCTCTTATAATTCTCATTTTATAACCCTACACTGGAACCAACACTCTAATAGTCAGGCACACTAATGGATGCAGTACCTTTAGACCTCTGATCTGCATTACGCTAGTTCATTTCTTTAGATTTGACGATTTCGTGTTATACGGTGTGACCATAATTCCATGCAACAGATGTAATATGTCAGAAATATAGATGCGCTTCATCACTGAAGAATTCCACAATAGACTAGAATCAGTCAAAGAACAATTTTACTCACTCACTCGCTTACTTACTTCTGTTACTCCCAATGGAGCATAGGTTGCCGACCAGTGTTCTCCAACCTACTCGGTTTCAAGCCTTCCTATCAAAATTCTGTCCAATGTTTGTCCATTCTTCTCTTGTCTGTCTCCAGTTCTCGGCGTGATGTATTCCTTGACCTTCCTCTTTTTCTTTGGCCTTTAAGGTTCCGAATGAGGGTTTATCTTGTGAGGCGGTTGGACGCCTTGCGAAGTGTGTGTCCCATACACTCCCAACGCTTCTTCCTGTTTCCCTCCTCCACTGGAATCCGGTTTGTCATCTCCCACAGTAGATTGTTGCTGATGGTGTCTGGCCAACGGATCCGAAGTATTTTGCGTAGACAACCGAAAGTAAACACTTTTATCTCTTGGATAATGGCTCTGGTGGTCCTCCAAGTCTCTGCTCCATATAGTAAAGGTGTCTTGACATTTGTATTGAAAATTCTAACTTTGATGTTGGCTGATAGCTGTTTGTAGTTCCTTCCATATGTTGTTCAATTGTAGTAATGCTTATCTTGCTTTGCCAATCCACGCCTTCACATCTACATCACATCCACCTTATTTACCAATGACATGCTGCCAAAAAATGTAAAGGTTTCAACGTCCTCCAAGGCATCGCCATCAGCCATGATTTGTTTGGTGCATCTTGTGTTGAACTGAAGGAACTTTCTTTTCCTTTTGTGCATTTCGAAACCTACTACTGCGCTCAGGCTTATGCTACACTGGTGGCCTTCTCTTGCTTTTTTTGTTACGTGTACAGTAGAAGATCTAGATCACCTGCAAAATCTAAATCGTCCAGCTGCATCCTGACTGTCCACTGTATTCCATCCTTCCCTCCAGATGTTAATGTCTTCATAATCCAATCGATCACGTCAAACTTTTCTTCAATTGAAAACGCTAACCAGAAAAATCAATTTTAAGAACAATTTAAAGTCATAAAAATATCCTGAACATATGTTTTACTCTAGTTCTCACGAATGGAATCTATTGACTTCAGGCCTAACGATCAAACAGACCATACTTTCCCTAATTCAGTCCATTTACAAATTTGAAATCATCAATCAATCATTGTTAGACCACCATTGAGAAGACGTGACCAGAGGAGTTCAACCCTGTCGGGTGTAGTAGGCAGTAACTACCAAAGACAAATGGGTGAGGTCGCGCAAAATCCCTAGATCAATCAGAGTTAGACATTAACACCGTTGGATGCTGGCCCAGTGTTCCGATGGTAAGGCGTTCGCCTACAATGCAAAAGGTCCCAGGTTCGAATCCTGCGAGGAGCAGGAGTCGTGGAGGCGCACTGGTGAGGAATCCCATACTAGGACGAAACGGCCATTCAGTGCTTCCAGGTTTCTAAAGGTGGTCTAACAATGATTGATTGATGATTTCAAATGTGTAAAAACGCAAACCTCCAAAACTGTGCCCCAAAATATCAGTCCACTTAATTGCTCATCAAAAGTCCATGAAATCAATAAATGATAGCAACGAAAAAGACTCATCAATGTTCAGTTATTCTTCAGTCATTATTTATCGATAAATATTGAAATAATCTTCCAACTTACCTGTTCATCAAATGGAAACCATAAAATGTCTATATTACATGTGGATTTAAATAATCCAGGTGGCATCCATTGAACTGTACCATCATGTTTGATAATTGTATTTGTTGGAAATGTTCGATCGAATTTCTCGTCAGCACTAAAAAATATTGAGGAACAAAAAATGCATAGATGATTCGAAGGATTGTGGTTTATAACTGAAATCATGAATCAATCATTGTTAGACCACCAGTAGAAATCTGGAAACATTGAATGATAGCCAATTAGCCTTATTACAAAACTCGTCAGAAGTGCACATCTATGACCACAGCTTACTAGTGAGTGACTAGCTTCATGAGGAAATTCCTGGCTGACTAGTGAGAATCCATGAATAGTGAAGTTCATTCCTGTCATATGCAGGCAATAACTACCGAAGACAATCAATCAAAGCTATATTTCAACACCCTAAGATGCTGGTTCAGTTGTCCAGAGCTTAGGTGTTTGCGCGCAAGACTAGTCTCGATATCCTTTGAGTGTGAGTCGTGGATGCACACTGCTGAGGACTAGAAAGGCTGTCCAGTGCTTTCAAATTTCTAATGATGATAGTCTAACAATATTCATGATTCATGATTTCAAACAATTCATTATGTTAATTTTTTAAATATTATTCATTTGAAACAACCAGTCAATCATTGTTGGACCACCATCAGAGACCTGGAAGCACCGGACGGCCGTTTCGTCCTAGTATGGTACTCCTCAGCCGTGCGCATCCACAACTCCTGCTCCTCGCAGGATTCGAACCTGGGACCTTTGGCATTGTAAGCGAACGCCTTACCATCGGAACACTGGGCCGGCATCCGACGGTGTTAATGTCTAACTCTGATTGATCTAGGGATTTTGCTCGACCTCACCCATTTGTCTTTGGTAGTTACTGCCTACTACACCCGACAGGGTTGAACTCCATTGGTCACGTCTTCTCAACTAGAACTCCGAGAATTTTGTCATGACCTATTGATCAATCGTAAGTACACATCTTTCTACAGTATTTTTTTTCATTTGTTATCCCTGAGGTGAAGCACTGGATACAGTGGACAGTTGAATTGCCAATGAACGGTTTGAACTTTGCCGGTGAAACTAGCTCTTCTAATACACACTCAACAACAAATGCGAGGAACAACTATCAGTGTGGCAGCAATCGGTCTCAACATACACAAAGAGATAAAGTAGGAATCTTCGAAACGATACAACATGCACCAATCAAATCAAACTTGATGGAGATGCCTTGGGTGATGTAGAAACATTTATACATATGAGCAGAAGGATCGTTGATAAACAGCGTGGGTCTGATGCAGATGTGAACATCTGGAACTGAAAGCAACTGCCAACCAACATCAAACTCACAATTTTCAATGGAAAAATCAATACAGTTCTATAGTAAGGGGCGGAAACTTGGGGAATTACGAACGTCATCATCCACAGGATACATGCGCTTACTAACAGTTGTTTACGCAAAATACTTAGGATCCATTTAGCAGATACTATCAGCACCAACTTACGGTGGGAAAGAACAAACCATATTCCAGTGGAGTAAGAAATCAGGAAGAAGCGCTGGAAGTGGATAGGACACAGACTGCAGAAAGCATCAAACTACGACACAGGGAAAGTTCTGACTAGGAATCCTCAAGGTCAACGGAAAAGAGGAAGATCAAAGAAAAACGGAGACGGATATGAGAAGAATGAACAATAATTGGACAGAACTGGAAAGGAAGGCCCCAGGGTGAGCGGCCATATGCTACACTAGAGGTTACAGGCGAAATTAAGTAAGCAACTGATTCACTTTTTATAGAAACGTTTAGTACCTCAAATGCTGTCGTTTTCAGTGTATCATAACAAAATAGAATTTACTTTCTAATAATTTTTAAAATTTTTCAAGAAAAATTCTTACTGAATTTCTGTTATAGATAAGTTGTTCACGAATCTCATGAAATAAATATGAAAGTTAGCTTACATGTTACATTTTCAAAAACCGCTATTTTTCATCAAACTTTTGTGAATTTAGAACACCAAAGAAAATGATTGAAAAACGCTTTGGAAGAAAAATGCCATCTTAACTTGAACTATTTACGATAACGTAATAGAAATATGAAATATGAAATGTTTGCTTACCAATTATACAATAGAATATCTGGTCTCCATACTGCTGTATACGGTAAATTTAGTGTAGTTATATTACCGAATTCTTTAGGATTCCATAAGAAATGATAATCATTCCATATCTAGATTTTTGTTTGAGAAAAAAAATACAAATATTTTGCGTTAGAGTATTAAGGAGATGGTAATTTTAACCTTGAAATCATGAATGAATCATTGTGTTAGACCACCATTAGAAGAAACCTGTAAGCACTGAAAGATGACCTTTTCTTCCTGGTATAGGACTCATCAGTAGTAGTGCGCATCCACGACTTATCGTACTCTCAGGATTCAGACCATGGACCTTCAATGTTGCGAGCGAACTCTTAACATATGTACCAATGAGCAGGCCTCAGATTCAGACATGGATACTGTTGGATGCCATTTCAGTGGAATACAGTCTAAGCGTTCGAGCGCAAGACTGAAGGTCTTCAGTTCGAATCCTGTAAGAAGTAGGAGTCGTGCATGTGCACTGCCACTGATGAGTTACATACTAGGAGGAAACGGCTGTCTTTCAGTGCTTCCAGGCTTCTTCTAATGGTGGTCTAACGTTGTTCTTCAGACCATAACATCATCAGTATTAACTTCTGTTAGAATTTCTCCAATGTTATGACATGTAGCTTGTTCTATGGACCTCGATGTTGATCGATTGTTATTGACCTATAAAAAATTCGTTGTCTGTCTCTATGTTTTGATTGTCATGTCATGTAATATATATAATCATTTTAATATATCAGAGATATAATTATTTAAAAGTTCTTAACACTTCATTAATTCATTTATTCAATAACACGGATGGATGAAATGGAATATTCGGTCTTGCGCACAAACACTTAACCTCTGGACGACTGAGGCAGCACCCAGTGGTGTTAATATCTAACTCTGATCAATCTAAGGGTTTTGTGCACCCTCACCCATTTATCTTTGCCTACACCAAACAGGGTTGAACTTCACTGGTCATATATTCTTACTAGAACTCCGACCCAATGGTTTAGAGGCTGGGCGTAACAGGAAAGTCGTGGGTACACACTGCCACTGATAAGCCCTGACTACCAGGTCTTGCACGCAAACGCTTAGAATCTGTACCACTGAACCGGCATCCAACAGTATCAGTGTCTGACATTGATGCCCGCTCAGTTGTCCACAGGTTAAGCGTTCGCGCGCAAAGTCGATGGTCCGTAGTTCGAATCCCGTAAATAGTAGCATGATTCGTGGATGTGCACTGCCACTGATGAGTCCCATACCAGAGCGAGACGGCAGTCTTCCAGGTTTCTTCTAATGAAGGTAGTGTGACAATGATTGATTCATGTTTTCAATAAAGTAATTCAACAATTTTCATAACTCGATGATGAAAAATTACATAATAAACATGCATAATAATATTATGTTCGCATTCTCAACTGTTTTATATTTTCTTATACAATGAACATAGAACATATTTTGTTTGAATTGTGACTGATACACTTCCTATTTAAAACAAATAAGATATTTACTCCAACACCCTAATACAAATTATCTTCAAAAAAAATAATTATTCATAATTATTATGTCAAATTCCCGCCATAGAATGTGACCTTAATTTGAAGTAGATTGATTTATTTTTTTTTTCTATTCGATATAATTAAAACAAAATATTGTTTGATCAATGTCGTCTACTTGAATATATATATATTCACTTTCTAGGAAAACATTTCAACAACCTTCGAAAAAAAATTTTGATATGAAAGCAGATGCTTGTTTTAAAAATAATAATAATTATTATTATTTTTTTTTAATTTGAACATTGAACATTGAAAATTAGCGCTTTCAAACAATGAATTTTAATCAATGAACAGAAAAAGTGAAATTCCATGAACATGAACAGTTTGACCTCGTCAGGGAAGATGATAATAACTGTTTTTTTTACTTTTCTTCTTGTTCTAGGCACACAAAAAAGTTGGTAGGAAGTCAAACTTAGAATAAAAAATAATTTTCAGAGAAAATATATTTTAATTTTAATAGTAATTAACTGTTAATGATATGTTTGATTGAACTTTTGAAAATAAATTGGAAAAAATTGAACAAAAGAATGAAAAAATGAGGTGACAGACCATCACTGAAACAACTAATGAGTAATTTGTTTTCAATTTTAAATGTGACGATATTTTCACGCCTTTTCAAATGAATTAATTTTTTGTCTGTAGATTCCTGTTTTGTTTAGTTCTGGTTTGTTTGTATGTTTCAAATTGCGACTGGTAATAAGATTCAGTTGGAAATGAAACCGACAAGTCTTCCACTTCAATGCTTATGACATTATATCTATTAGGATATTGAATTTCGATAATCGCCAACTTGTTCAATATGTGTGTGATATGACTGTGATGATGTTTCGTTCACTGAGCAGGGGATTTTTTGGCTGTGAAGCTTTCATTATTGTTCTCCGCCGTCCAATTTCTCTACGTTTGACCTGTAGCTTGTTCTACTAACCTCGATCTTGATTGGTTGTTGTTGACTTTAAATCTGTCGTTGTTAGCACATTTGTTTTGAATGTATCCCCCATTTGATCTGTTTCTTGATTCTATGTCACCTATGATTTTTCTGATTAGTTGATAAATTGGGTCACTGTCGATGTGTTTATTGATTGCTGATTGACCTGAGTGCCAAGCTTCTAAAAATTCTCTAGTGTTCTTTGTCCTCCCCCTATCCAGCCAGTATTTCCACACTGTTCCAATCGAATGTATGTACATAGCTGTCGGTGTGTATTGACATAAGCAAAGAATTGTCGTGGCGTTTGACTGCTAATTGGTGTTCACGTAAACGAAGCTGAACAGGACGTTCACTTTGTCCTATGTAATGTTTTTCACAGTCTGAGCAATTTATTTTGTAGATGATATTTGGTTTTTCTTAACTCCGCCAATAGAACCTTAGGGGCTACTGCCGGTCCCAAGCCCGGATAAAGGAGGAGGGTTGGACATGGGGTTGGCGACCCCATTCCGTTGAAATCTCACTTGCCAAAAAAACACTAACCAGAAAAAATAATTCAAACCATTTTAACTCTGCCCTGGGAGTTGGAAGAAGAATTATGACGTCTCGTGATGAAAGCCGAGTTCCCTCGGAAGTCACGGGGCTGATGCCTCTTCTGACAACCAGAGCAATCATTTTTTTAGGTAAATGGAACGTTCGTACATTGTGGGAGACTGGAAGACTATTTCAAGTTGCGGCAGAAATGAAAAGATACAACCTCGAGGTGCTCGGCATCAGTGAAACACATTGGACACAGGTAGGACAACTGAGACTAGCTTCAGGGGAACTGCTGTTATACTCTGGTCATGAAGAGGAAAACGCTTCACATACACGAGGAGTTGCACTGATGCTGTCCAAACATGCACAAAAGGCACTGATAGGATGGGAATCTCATGGATCCAGGATCATTAAAGCATCCTTCAAAACAAAGAAACAGGACATTACAATGAACGTCATCCAATGTTATGCACCTACCAATGACTACAATGACGACGTTAAAGATCAATTCTACGAAAGGCTGCAGTCAATCGTCGAGAAATGTTCACCAAAGGATTTGACGATTCTTATGGGAGACCTGAATGCCAAGGTTGGAATGGACAACACTGGATATGAAGACATCATGGGACTACATGGACCGGGAGAAAGGAACGAAAACGGTGAGAGATTTGCAAACCTATGTGCCTTCAACAAACTGGTCATCGGTGGCACAATATTCCCGCACAAACGCATACACAAAGCCACATGGATTTCACCGGACCACACTACTCAAAACCAAATTGGCCATATCTGTATCAATAAAACGTTCAGAAGGACCATGGAGGATGTGAGAACCAGGAGAGGAGCTGATATAGCCTCAGACCACCACTTGCTGATCGCCAAAATGAAACTGAAGCTAAAGAAGCACTGGACAACGGGGCAGACAACATCACAGAAGTTTAATATGGCCTTTCTTCAGGATACCGTAAAACTCAACGAATTCAAGATAGCCCTTACCAATAGGTTCCAGGCCTTTCAGGATCTACTCAATGGAGAGGAAGCAACATTGGAGTACAATTGGAAAGGGATTAAGGAAGCAATCACTTCGACATGTCAGGAGGTCCTTGGTCGCAAGAAGCACCATCACAAGGAATGGATCTCTGTTGGTACTCTTGAAAAAATTGAAGGAAGGAGGAACAAGAAGGCAGCAGTGAATGTCAGCCGAACAAGAGCAGAGAAAGTTATGACACGAGCTGCATACACAGAAGCAAACAGGGAAGTGAAGAAGAGCATCAGAGCTGACAAACGAAAATATGTGGAAGATCTAGCAATGACGGCGGAAAAGGCTGCAAGAGAAGGAAACATGAGACAATTGTACGAAACAACAAACAAGCTCGCCGGAAACTATCGTAAACCAGAACGACCAATGAAAAGCAAGAAAGGGAAAATAATCAGAAACACTGAAGAACAGCGAAATAGGTGGGTAGAGCACTTCAAGGAACTATTGAATCGACCAGCTCCACTGAACCCACCCAACATCGAAGCAGCATCCAAGGACCTCCCAATTAATATTGGCGCACCTACGATTGAGGAGATCAGTATGGCCATCAGACAAATCAAGAGCGGCAAAGCAGCAGGACCAGACAACATTCCAGCAGAGGCAATGAAAGCAGATGTAGAAGCAACTGAGAAAATATTCCACATTCTCTTCAAGAAGATTTGGGATGAGGAACAAGTACCATCAGATTGGAAAGAAGGATACCTGATCAAAATACCAAAGAAAGGCGATCTCAGTAAGTGTGAGAACTACAGAGGCATCACTCTTCTTTCAATACCAGGCAAAGTCTTCAACAGTATTGTTAAACAGAATGAAGGACTTCGTAGACGCCCAACTTCCAGATCAACAGGCTGGATTTCGTAAGAATCGATAGTGTACTGACCGAGTTGCAACATTGTGGAACAATCAATAGAATGGAACTCACCACTCTACATCAACTTCATCGACTACGAGAAAGCATTAGATAGCGTGGATAGGAAAACACTGTGGAGGTTTCTTCGACACTATGGTGTGCCTGAGAAAATAGTTAACATCATACGGAATTCTTAT